TTTTTCCGAAAAACAGACACGGGGGAGGGTTAGATCTTTCTCGTGGGCACTCCCCGCGTTTCAACACCTCCCCCCCCCCCCCCCGCCCAAAAGAAATAATACAATAATAACGGAACATGCCTTCTTTCTCTACCAACTATCTCTGCTAACCTTATTGACCGGAATATCCGGGCCAACTACTGCTTGCCGTAGATTGCCGCCGTGGAGAAGGCCGGCCTTGCTGACAAGATGTCCCACATCTCCACCGGCGGCGGGGCCAGCCTCGGCCTGCTCGAGGGCAAGGATCTGCCGGGGGTCAGCGCCATCGAGGAAAAAACGCCGCGACCTATGTAATTGTAATCGTGGACGGCGCGTACATGATTGTTACGTCTGCCTGTTGGTTGCGCTGGCGCCACATCGCGGCAACCGTGGTGAGAGTGCTGCCGCTCTCCCTTTTGCCGCCTGCCACACGGCAAGCAGCGTGTATATCTTGGCAGGACTGGCCGAAGATTTTGCTACCCACTTCTCTTCCGGCTGCTGAAATTTTTGAAACGGGTGGGGTGTAGCGTATACTCAGCGCCCCTTTGATAGATGAAAGTGCACCCACACACCTGGCTGACTGGTACGGTGGCCGTTCGTGTTGGTTCCGTACTGTAGAGGTATGCCACCTCGACTACGTGAGTGGTTCCGTGGTTGACAAGTGATCCGCGAAACAATCGGGGATTCCGGGGGCTGGTGAACCCCTACCTGCGGTAAACTGGAGGGTGTGTGTGACATGCAAACCGCAGCCTGTCAGTTCGAGGGTAGACCATGCTTGCTTCTCTTGTGCGCGAAACTGTCCTTCTGAAGGAAACGTTTCCCTGTGTGTGTATCGGCCAACTATTCATTATTCTTCTTCTATCGACATTTGCAAGAAAAGGCGAGAAAGGGAACGGCGCGTCAAGAGTGAATCATTGGGTTCTCAGTTTTTTTTTGTTTCGCTTGGCTTGCCCCAACCGCCTGTAGGTAGGTCGATCGTCCTTGCCGGCAGCACGAGAGGAAGCGATCTCTCCTCTCCCAATGTCGAATATAGTAGTGGATGTGAGGCATTTAGCAGGTGCTGTATTGTGCGATGTGCGTGGTAGTGTTTTTGTGATCAACGCATGCGCCCAAATGACCTGACGAGACTCGTAGTTCAAAATGAACGTGGTCGGTAGTGAAGTGTGTTTGCACCGACGACACATCCTGCAGGGGCACGGGCGGTCAACGTTCCCTGGCGAAGGATGGACCTGAATGAAGTCGGTTACATTTTCAACCCTCGTTCTTCGTTGGATCGAAAAAAGTCCAATGTTGTTCAGTTTTTCACGGCGGCGCGAAGTTGAGATGGATATGGCACTCACTCACAGTTTCATACCGGGCACTTTCGGCGATGGAGCGACACCGCCGACTAGTAGCGGAATCCCGCCTCATTGCAATGCGTTTGACCGGGTCAACGCGGCAACGTAATGGTCTTGAGTCAATGACGAAACCATCATTTGGGAAGCTCCAAGAGACACTAGGTCTTGAGCTTAGAGGTCTGTCTCTTGTGGTCTATGGTCTCACGTCGGCGAGGGGACTCGACAAAAATCACACGCCGGTCGATCGGACGAACGTGCAACGACACCAAGAGCTGCCATAACTTTGTAGTACCACAGACTCGTCTGAAGCGCATGATAGATTGGTTTCAAAATTGCCTTGGTACATTGTGACCTACAGCGGGAGGCTTCGCCCCCATGACAAGCTCGACGAGGTACAAAGCCCCTGGTTACACCCCATTTTTCTCTGCTCATGGTGCACTCGATACGACACACGTATTCATGCTGGCTCCGACTCCAAGACTCAAGAAATACCGGGGGGGGGCTCTTGTCTAAAGCAAAAAACCCTACGCATTCTCGTCAATTCCTCCCCCCCCCAAAGGGCGGGTGAGCTGCGGAAAACTACACCAATTCCACCTACGGATCTGTCCTTCGACGAAGTAGCCAACCAACTTCCGCGTGATCCTCCAAGGTAAGCTCCATACCTACCGTGTGTTACCGTGGCATCCAGTGAACTCGCGTCTACCAAAACTCTTGATGCAGGTGCATCGAGGCAGCTCAAGGAGGAACCCCTTATTATTTGTTTCTCTGCACGAGACTCCAGAAAGCCGAACCAAGGCATTCGAACCAACACGCCTCTTGGGACGTGAGAGACAACGATAACCACGCATTCGTAAATCTTCATGTCCTAAATTTTTCATTTCACAATAATAAAGTGTAGTATTTTCCTCGAAGATAAAGGTTTGTTCTTATACTCTGGCCGTAAACTATTATTATCAGTATATTGGGACAAGTCTGACGGGTCAGACGGGGAGAAGCCCACGAAAGTAGTTTGTGTTTTCGGCCTCTACTGCTGGCGAGAAAGATTCAGCCATTCCGTTCCCTCGTCGACCGTAAAGTTCAACATTTATGCGCACATGATGAAATCGCTGAAACTTGCTTGCGGCATGTACGTACAATCCCTGGTCTAACGACTGCGCCGAGGTTAAAACTCATATCGAAACGTCAGCAACGTACACCTACGGATACAACAAAGTCACGAAGGCGACCGGAAAAGCACCAGACAAGCCCCCCTGGCCTGCCATGCTTTGAAGAAAAGCACGCACGCCTTACACCGCCATCACTGCAGCGGCGACCCAAGCCCCAACTGCCACTAGTTGTACAACACAACGCCCTTCAAGGCCGCCCCTCCCTCCGCGCGGCATCCGCGTCGCCGCTCCGTTCGTACTCTCGACAACGCCTGCACTCGGTGCATCATCCGTCTGGCCAGTGCCGCTAGAACTGGGGGCGACCGTAACCTCGTTTCCATCAATATCGCTGCCGTCGACCAGACCACTAGGGGATGGTGTTAACCCCAGATCTCGTACGTCAGAGCCCGACGACGTCGGGGCCATGGTACCGGAGGTCAGATCCGGAGCAGCGGTCTCTGCTTCTGGGCTCGCCGTTGGTCTTGACGTCTGAGCAACCAAGGAGGCCGTCCTTGTCGGCGATGCAGTCGGGGATGATGTGGAGGAGGCACTTGGGGCTGGTGTGAAGGACACATTGGGGGATGGTGTCTGCGGATCTGTTGGGGATACAGTTGGCGGGGCTGATCGCGGGGAAGCGGTGGTGGGTGTAGGTGAGGGAGAAGGGGTGGGTGTAGGCGAGGAGGCCGGAGTCGCCGCGGCGGATGGGGAAGGGGTCGGTGTAGGGGGCGAAGAAACAGTGTATGGAGCCGGGGTTGGTTCAGGCGAGGGAGAAACCGGAGTCGACGTGGACAACGCGGCAGGGGCAGAATCAGAGGTGGAAGGGGTGGGACTGCTGTCGCCCGCAGAGCAATCCGACTCGGAGAGGGTGCATCCGCTCTCTTCCAGCCCACACTGAAAGAACTCCATCGTTACCGCGTCACCCAGGCAGTCTTGCCCGCTGACGTAGAAGCTGCAACAGAACAGGGCAGACGCGACGTCGCAGTCGCTGGCGCCGGAGTTGGACATGGCGGGGTAACGCTCCCCGCAGCTGTCGGCACCGTCTTCCGCGAACTGCGCGACGCAGTCCCAGCACAAGGCCGAGTCGTAGCAAGCGGCGGCCTCTTCGACGCAGGCCTCGCTCGAAGAGGACGGGAGGCTGGTTGACCCATGCGCGACACGGAGGAGGTTAGTAGAGGCGTTGATGACGAGGAAGAGGCTTGCCACCCGCGCCTTCAGCGGAGCAGCGGCCCTGCGCTTGTTGTTTTTTTCCATGCCGAGGATTCCTCAACGATGCCTCAGATGAATTGTCTTCGGAAGGCGAGCCTGAAGACGGAACGTTTCCCGAACGACGGAGCACTTTGTGCGGTCAGTTACGGCGTGGTACATGCAAGGGGTAGAATTCATCGCCACAAGACTCTTGTAACCTTTTCATGGTCGCAGCACAAACTGATGCTTCGCAATTTGTGTTGCACATTCTGTCTGTGTCGCATGTGGGGCACTTTCGAACACGTACTGGGGAGGGCAGCGGTGCATTGCGGTTGATGCGCCTGTTGTCGTTCAGAGAGATGCAGCCAAATTTTCCAGGGCTGTCTTCGTTTATTTCTTTACGTGCGGTAAAACCACGGCAATTTCCCTTTCCTGTGATCCCGTGAAGAATGACAATTACCGTTCCCATCCAAATCGTTTCCGTGAACTGGTTTTACCAATCACGCCCAAACCGTTAACAAACAAATTGAATGCCCCAATTACCGTACAACAAATTACCGCGCAAGAATCACAATTCCCGTGCTTTCGAGTTAACGCAAAGTACGTTACCGTAAGAAAAATAAAATCCCATCTACAGCACGGAAACACCAAGTGCATCTGCAGGCCACAATAAACTGCCCATGTGCCCCTCTTGGTAAATAGCCTTCTCGAAACAGGAGTTCGAGCCAGCCCCGCTCCACTCTTTTGTCTCCTCTCCTCTTTATCGTATTATAGTGTGTAAACCGCTGGTCGCAAAGGTCGTGAGTTCGAATCCCCAAGGGGTGAACGATTTACAAAATTTCGGGTGAAAGCGAAATACAGCTGAAAAAGCTCTCGTGAGTACCAAAATTTGGACGTTTCAGCACCGTTGACGAGGGAAAGGGATGGCTGGACCCTTCTCGCGATAAAAATAAATTTCAGCACGCACCGCAGGAGGAAGGGTGGGGCACTAAAATAAGTTAAAAAGAAGAAAAGGCCCTCGTGTTTGCCCTCTCCTGTGTGACCCTGGATGGAGTGTAGTACACGTCTGTCTCACCACGAAAAATGGGGGGACTGTCGCCATAACAAATAGGACAAAAACACAATACCTCGTATGCAATGCGTGCCACGTTTTATTTTGGGCCGTTTGTTCCTTCTCCTTTGTTGCCTGATTGACAGATGAAGCTAAGGTTTTCACGACTTGACATTTTATGTGGGGGTCTGTTGCGTAGGGGTTTTCTTGTTTTGTTTGTTGAACCGTTCGCGCACGTTTGTTGTGCGGTGACCACACGCGCGAGGAACACTTGAAAGTAAGCACACGAAACAGGGCCTGACGTGCCATGGTGTGGTTAACTGCACAACGTACACTGCTGTGGTGATCAGTTGCCGTAAAAAATACCATGCTATGCACAATTCTGTGGACTACCGTGGTGGCCGGCTACCTTACAAGAAAATTACCTTGGTCACCAGTTACAGTACGGAATGTACCGTGGTGGCCAGTTACCGCCCAACAATACTGTACTGTACCGTGGTTTCTGGTTAACACGGGAAATGATGCCGACATGAACAGCCGTTAACGAAGACATCCCTGATCATTTCTTTGTTTCTTGAAGTGTCCAGCACTCGCGAACTGCAACGAATGAAGTTCCTGCGAAAAACATGTGTGCGGGCTACTGTACGCAGACAACGTTTACAACAGCGCTCCATCGTTCCGTAAGCTGTGCAAATCTATTGGCCCAACCACCGTTAGTGGAAGAGGCTACGCATACAAGTGGAGGGATGGTGATATTCGTTGGGAAAAGTTTGTGTGATTTTGATTCGTTGACCAACTCAGGTTCACATTGGGTTCTGTTCATGCCGACCTTTTTCGTTTCACTCACGCCGAAACTTGCGTTCTGAGAGAACCACAACAAACAACTTGTTGTAGTTGCAAGCCAGAGACGTGCTTGCATATTTAATGTGTGATGTTCACACCACTCATTCCTGGGATAAAGAAAGTCAGTCACGAAGGGTCATACAGAATGCGCCACCACTTAGAACCGCTTATTTTGCGTGAGGCTCGACGCTTATTGGCTGCCTCATACCGAGCCCGTGTTCTCATTCTGCAAGTTCTTGTTTTGCGCGTCGGATATACGGGGTTCTTGTTCTTGCTCCTACGCCGATTACCCCATGCAGAGCACACAGGTCTTTCTGGGTGGATTTCAACGCGACACTGAGAATACAGCACACAAATTTCGTTCAGACCTGATGAATCCAAATTTGGAACACCAAATTGATCCACGGATCTTATCGGATATATTGGGACTTGTAAGCGTCAAGAGGTCCCTCCCTTCTTTCGCTCCGCGATCAGTAGTGAGTTGTCGCGCGTTGGCGAGCAGAGTTATACCGACGCTAACGATTAGGCCGGGACTGCAGGAGTCGGTACCGTCGGTACCATGACGGATGAAGAGTTAGGGTGAAATCATGTCTTGCTGGGTCAAGTGAGAGACGCTTGCAACGAAGGATGGGCGGGACCACCGTCCGGCGCAGGAGGCCTCATCCAATGCGAAACTTCGTCAAATGATCCTC